AAATTGTGCTATGAACACAGGGGTGCATACGATCTTTCTGATTGGTGCTTTGGGTTTCTTAGGATATATTCCTAGAAGTGGGATCACTGGGTCAAATGGCAAATCCAATATTAATTTTTTGAGGAAACTCTATACTGTTTTCCATAATGATTGCATCAGTCTGCATTCCCACCAGCAGTGTACTAGGGTTCTCTTTTCTCCACATCCTTGTCAGCACTTGTCATTTGTTGATTTGTTGATGGTAGCCATTCTGACAGGTGTGAGATGGTACCTCATTGTCATTTTAATTTGCATCTCCCAGATGATTGGTGACTTTGAGCATTTTTTCATGTCTCTTGGTCATCTGTATGTCCTCTTTAGAAAATTGTCTAGGTCCTTCGCCCATTTTTTAATTGGATTGTTTGCCTTTTGTTAAGTTGTATGAGTTCCTTATATATATACTAGAGGCCTGGTACAGAAATTTGTGCACCAGTGGGGTCCTTCGGCCTGGCCTGCGGGATTGGGCTGAAACCAGCTCTCCGACATCCCCCAAGAGGTCCCATATTGCGAGGGTGCAGGCCAGCCCGAGGGACCCCACCAGTGTACAAACAGGGCTGGGGAGGAGTGCGGGAGGTTGGCCAGCCAGGGAGGGGCCATGGGAGGGCTCCAGGGCATGTCTGGCCCTTCTTGCTCAGTCCTGATCAGCTGGACACAGCAGCAAACTAACCTACCAGTCGGAGCATCTGCCCCCTGGTGGTCAGTGCACATCATAGCGAGCAGTTGAGCGGCCTTAGCATATCATTAGCATATTATGCTTTGATTGGTTGAACGGATGACCAGACACTTAGCATATTAGGTTTTTATTATATAGGATATACATTTTAAAATATTTTTATTGACTTCAGAGAGGAGGGAGAGATACAAACATCCATGATGAGAATCATTGATTGGCTGCCTCCTGCATGCCCCCTACTGGGGATCGAGCCCAAACCCGGGCATGTGCCCTTGACTGGAATTAAACCCAGACCCTTCAGTCCGCAGGTCAACACTCTATCCACTGAGTCAAATTGGCCAGGGCTCCTTATATATTTTGGATATTAACACTTTATCAGATGTATCATTGCTAAATATGTTCTCCCATATAGTTGGCTCTTTTTGTTTTGTTGCTTTCTTTTGCTGTGCAAGAAGCTTTTTATTTTGATGTAGTCCCATTTGTTTCTTTTCTTCTTAGTTTCCTTTGCACTAGATGTGTCTGTAAACACATTGCTACAAGAGATGTCTGAGATTTTGCTGCCTATTGTTTCTTCTAGGATTTTTATTTCATGATTTACATTTAAGTCTTTTATCCATTTTGAGTTTATTCTTGTGTATGGAGTAAGTTGGTGGTCTAGTTTCATTTTTTTGCATATATCTGCCCAATTCTCCCAGCACCTCTCTTTTACTTTTTAAAAACATATATTTTTGATTTCAGAGAGGAAGGGAGGAGGCAAAAACGTCAATGATGAGAGAGTATCATTAATTGGATGCTTCCTGCACACCCACTAGGGATCGAGCCCATAACCTGGGCATGTGCCCTGATGAGGAATTGAACCGTGATCTCCTGGTTCATAGGATGATGCTCAACCACTGAGCCATGCTGGCTGGGCTGCTGTATTATTCTTTTAAAATATATTTTTATTGATTTCAGAGAGGAAGGAAGAGGGGGAGATAGAAACATCGATGAGAATCATTGATCGGCTGCCTCCTGCAAGCCCCACACTGGGGATCAAACCTGCAACCCCAGGCATGTGCCCTTGACCAGAATCAAACCTGGGACCCTTCAGTCCGCAGGCTGATGCTCTATCCGAGCCAAACTAGCTAGGGCTGTAGTATTTTTACTGAAACAGATCAACATGGTCTATGGCTCTTGGTATGCACCTAGTGATCTTCCCATCCTCATCAATAAAGGATCAAAGGCAGTTCACAATTAAGAGGGAAGGAGAACAGAATATGCTCAATTTCTTGACTCCAGGGCCTGATCAACCCTCCTATTTCACAAAGAGACCTTGCTTTTCTGGACATTCTGGGGAACATTATTCTAGTGATGACATCATAATAATCAGATTTGGTGAAAAGGAAGTAGCAAGTGTACTGGGTCCCTCAGTAAAACACACATGTACCAGAGTATGGGAGGTAAACCTTATAAAGATTCAAGGGTCTTTTATATCAGTTAAGTTTTTATTTTTTCTTAATGTTTTTGATTTTAAAGAGAGAGGGACAGAGATGGATGAGAGAAAAACATTGATTGGCTGCCTCCTGCACACCCCCACTGGGGATCGAGCTCACAACCTGGCATGTGCTCTAATCAGGAATTGAACTGACGACCTCCTGGTTCATGGGTCGATGTTCAACCACTGACCCACACTGGCTGGGCTTAGTGAAGTTTTTAAGGGTCCAAATATCTGAGGCATACTGGGAAATTCTAAGGAACAAATTATTGCATCTTGTCCTCACTACTAAGAAAAAGGCAGTGTTTGAAGAGCCTCTTTGGATTTTGGAGGTAACATATACACTTTCAAGTGTGGCCCAGAGTCATAGAGCCCAAGTGCCATATGACTGGCAGATTCAGATGGTGTTAGAGGTTATCTGTGGTAGGTGAAAAATGTGTAGAGCAGGGGTCCTCAAACTTTTTAAACAGGGGGCCAGTTCACTGTCCCTCAGACCGTTGGAGGGCCGGACTATAGTTTAAAAAAAACTATGAACAAATTCCTATGCACACTGCACATATCTTATTTTGAAGTAAAAAAACAAAATGGGAACAAATACAGTATTTGTATTTGCATGTGGCCCATGGGCCGTAGTTTGAGGACCCCTGGTGTAGAGGTCTCGTAAGCCCTAGTAGGAGCTTGCCAATAGAATTCTAGAGCAAGGCCATGCCTTCTACAGCAAAGAACGATTCCGTTTGAAGAGCAGCTCCTGGGATACTACTACCCATGACATCAGGTGATCATGTAACTGGAGCTGTTGATTACAGCTGAGTATGCTCTGATTCATTAAATCAGGTGGACACAGCAACAATCCATTATATGAAAGAAATGTCACATTTGCGATCAGGCATGAGCAGGTCCAGTCACAGGTTATGTAAGCAGGAAGCTCTCACCTGTGTCACCTGCCTTTGCTGAACCGATACCTCCCTCTGTTCATACCTGTGAACTCATGGAAGGCTCCCTTAAACATGCTGGTGGAATAAATCTGCGGTCTGTTTCACAGAGTCAGCTCAATGTTAGCATGAATCAAGAAGGCATTGTTAATTTCGTGTGCTTCCTCGGGAGTGAAATCTGGTGGGCAGAACTGCAGGCAGGCAATCTGGCACCAACTTTGTTTGGAGGAAGAAGTAGCCCGAGATAAAGATTCCGTGGCCTCTTGGGCTGTGGCAAACAGCTTGTCTAGACAAGGGGCCTGCAAAGAATAAGGTTGAAAGTCTGGGGACAAGATCTGAGGAAGATTTCAGCTTAAGCACTGATGGACCAAAGGGGGCTGAAACAAAGTGTGTAGATCTTTGTGTCATACATCAATGCCCCTCAGAAAGTACCCACTGCACAAAAGGTTTCAGGAAAATAAGGGGCAGTACAGATAGGGATCCATTCACCTCTCACCAGAGGAGGATGAGGCAGGTCTTGAGGCTTAGCAGCTCTACCTTCATTTCCTTCACCTGGAGCAGCTCCAGGAGCCTACAGATAATCAGCTGCTTCTAATCACTAAGTTCTGTGTGGGCCTTCATCATAGTTAATATATAAATAGGAGAGCTCACATTAAAGGTACTGAGTTAGGGTGCTGGCAGGACATCAGGTCATCAGCAAGCTACTGGAACAGTAAAAACATTTCAGATTTCCAGCACAATTGATTTTTTTTTAAAGTAATGACTCTCTAATACATTTGGCTGGTGCATAAAGACTTGCTACCTGTAGTTTAATCTGATCCCAGGGTGGCATACCAGCAGTTTCCAGAGATCAGAACTGGTACTAGACATGACACTTTCTTGTCCCTAATCCTGGCATATCAGGTTTGTTGAACACTATGGCTGCAGCAGTAGACAAAAAGATATTTTAGTGACTATTAGTAAGAGGTGAAAAAAACTCAGAACAAGATAAGCAAGTGATAGGAGGAAGGAGTGAAGTAGTTGGTTTCTAGGTAACAGGAAGACTTACCTACTGGCCAAAAGATTTTTTATAAGGTAGAGAAGTATCTTAAGAAATAAAAGAGATTGCAGTCAGAAAGAAAAGATGGGATGGGTTTAAGTTAATCAAATTGGGTATTACTGACTTCTGGAGTTTAGAAGAATGAAGCTTCTGAGGGAGAATCAGTTTTTCACAGACTTTGGCAGAGACAAGAGTATACACAACCAAAATGCACAAGAGGCTGACAAAATGTTCCCAGTGATGAAAAAAATGTATTCAGTATGTAGGGAAAAAAAGCACAGACCAAAATGCAACTATTCTACACACTACTGCAATTTCCTAATATACACATTCATTCACAAGTACTACATATTCTATTTACCCCAAATCCAAATTTCCCCCAAGATAAACCAGTAGGAATAGTTTTTCTCTCTAGAATAGTGTTCAATAAACAACATACCATTTATTATAACAGTCCTGCGATGTTATAAATTTATTCTGAATCAGATTATATTCAAATGGCTCAATTCTTCACAAATCATAATTCTTTATGTTAAAAGTTAAACAGTCATAATGCTTTCTCCATAACTATACTTGATACACATCACTTTAACTATACAAAAGGCAATGCCGGCATGGTTACTGGAACTTGAAGTGTGGTGAGGGGATCGGCTTCAGTTAAGCTGGCGAGGAATCCACCACACCCTCTAGGACAGCCGTGGGCAAACTACGGCCCGCGGGCCGGATCCGGCCCGTTTGAAATGAATAAAACTAAAAAAAAAAAAAGACCGTACCCTTTTATGTAATGATGTTTACTTTGAATTTATATTAGTTCACACAAACACTCCATCCATGCTTTTGTTCCGGCCCTCCAGTCCAGTTTAAGAACCCATTGTGGCCCTTGAGTCAAAAAGTTTGCCCACCCCTGCCTAGGACCTTCCTTCCTACTGTGCCATTGCTCTCACTCCTCCAGGGTCTTTTGATGTTGAATGAAACAAAACCTAGCACTTAAGTCTATATTACAATTATCTGACTTCTCCCTAGCATCCACGTTCTAGAGTTACAAACACACACACACAGTAACACTGAGAGCCTACTTGACAGTTAAAGCACTTCTCCCTCTCCAGTGTGGACTCTCTGATGTTTGGAAAGATTTGACTTACTACAGAAGGTTTTCCCACAATTATTACACCAATAGGGCTTTTCCCCAGTATGGATTCTATGATGTTTATTAAAATTGGAGCTGTGGTTGAAAGCTTTTCCACACTCCTTACATTTATATGGCTTTTCTCCAGTGTGGAGTCTCTGATGAGAACTAAGACCTGCATGCTGACTAAAGCTCTTCCCACATTCATTACACTGATAAGGTTTCTCTCCAGTGTGTATTCGATAGTGTCGAATGAGGCTGCCTTTACCACTGAAAGCTTTCCCACAATCTTTACACTGATATGGTGCCTCTTCAGTGTGCATGCGCTGATGTTTAAGGAGATCTGAGCTCTGACCGAAGGCTTTTCCACACTTACAGTCATAGGGCCGGTCCACCAAGTGTGTTCTGTAATGAAGGGTAAGGTTTGAGCTGTGGCTGAAGGCTTTTCCACATTTGGTGCATACATAGGGTTTTTCCCCAGTGTGTGTTCTCCGGTGTTTAGTAAGATTTGAGCTATTGCTAAAGGCTTTTCCACACTCAGCACATATGTAACGTCTCTCTCCTGGGGCAGGTTTAGTGGACATTAATTCTCTACCTTTCTTGGAACCTTTGTCTAGGACAGAGGTTTTCTTTCCTCTTTCTTTTTCAAGGTTTGCCCATTGCCTTTCTAACTTGGCCTCAAATTTATTGGCAATAACCATGGGAGTAATATCCTTTTTGAATTCTTCTGCATGAGACTCTTCAGAACTTTCCTGCATATCTGTTGATTCCTCATTCTGGGTGTTCGATTTACAATCTGAAACAATAAGTAGAATAAGGACATGTGAATTGTTTCCTGTTCTGAGAAGAAACTGTTAAAGGACAAAGAAAATCATCGAATGACATTGATAGATTTTATCAATGCTTTATGAGAGTTCACAATATCACAATTATACAAATAAGTCATCATCAAATCTAGTTTACAATACCAGACTTTCACACAAGCTGCCTATTAAAAGCTATGATGGTATGAAGAGAACATGGCTTTTTCTGCTAGGAGGAGAACTTCATATATAAAGGGCAATAAGGCAAAGCCAAGCATATAGCAGCAAAGGAAGATAGGAGATGCTTGGGCAGAATGAAACAAGTTAGAAATATTGCTGAAGGGTCAATCTGATTAAGGAAAATAAAAGAATAATTAAGGGAGAAGAGACTAGTGGCAAACTCAAAAAACCTATATGCTCATAGAAGCTAAATATCTATATATATAAAAGGCTAAGTTGACTTGCGCATGCGCGATACATAAAGTTCTCGCTGGCGCCAATCACATGCGTGTGTTTCCATCTGTCATTGTTGATCGTGAATTCGGTTGACACTTCTATTATAGAGAAAGGGTGAATAGCAATATTAAAATATTTCTTCTAATTAATTTCCTTTCAATGTGCATGAATTCGTGCACCGGACCACTAGTAAAAGCAATAAAAGAGAACATTCAGTCCATTTATAATCATTCTAGTCCCAGATCCTCCTCCTCCTTTAATATGTTTTTATTGATTTTTTTAGAGTGAGAGGAAGGGAGAGGGAAAGAGAAACATTGATTGGTTGCCTTCTGCACACCCCCTACTGGGGATTGAGCCCACAACCTGGGCATATGCCCTGACTGGGAATCGAACCAGTGAACTCTTGGTGCATGGGATGAAGCTTAACCAACTGAGCCACACTAGCCAGGCCCAGATCCTTCTTAATTTAAGTGAAAGTACTTAACTCCCACCAGGGTTCAACTCTTATAATTTAATCTACATCAGCTAGCTCTTGTCATTCTTTTAATTATAAAGTATCAGTGTTGAAATCAGATTGAAGCAGTACGTCTTTTAAGAGCATTTCACTAGGCAGTCACACTGCTAAAAGTCCATCTAACCATCTAACCATCCACACACATGGAAAGGGGAGTGATAGAAGTTTCCTTTGAAAAATGGACTCCTCTTTTTTTTTTAAAAAAATATATTTTTATTGATTTCAGAGAGGAAGGGAGAGAAAGAGAGAAAAACATCAACAAGGAGAATCATTGATCGTCTGCCTCCTGCACACTCCACACAGGGGATTGAGCCCGCAACCCAGGCATGTGCCCCCAACCAGAGTCAAACCTGGGATCCTTCAGTCCACAGGCTGATGCTCTATCAACTGAGCCAAACCGGCTAGGGCAAAATGGGCTCCTCTTAAGCACAGTCTTCCCTCCATGGGTACAAAAGTCCCACTTGACAAAGGTACCTCCCTCTAGTCCCCTTTTCCTTATCCCTCTGTCTCTGTCTCCTGACCATCTATTTCCTTCCTCTGTCAGCAGTAACCACTTAGCTGCTTCCAGGCTCACCCCTTACTCACTGTCTGCAGCAGTGGGAGCTAAAATCTCTCACGCTCCATGAGGAGCAATCACGTGGCTACTCATACAGGCTACCCTTCAAGTTGCCATGAACTATGTGTAGGAAATAAGTAACTTAAAAGTTAAAAATTTTAAATACCCTGAGGCAGAAGTTGAATAAATTTACCAGGGATCATTTCTGCATAATCCAAAGCTGATTATATATATAACAGGCTCACTAAATCATTAACAAATGAATGGTCCTACCTTGATTCTGTCTTAGCTCTGGAGTGAAATCCTGCTCTTCACCAGTCTCTTGGATGTACAGGGGTCCCCAAGATTCATATTTGGGACTTGTTTCCACAGACTGTGGCTGGGTGCTGCTCAGAGATTCCTTTGCTGTTCCTGAAGAGGACATCTTCTCCCATGCCTGTTTCTGTTCATTTGGAGGAGGTGAAACCTAGACAATTAGGAATGGCTGGATTTGTCCACAGCTCACTTTATTTTATAACAGTTGCAGTGAACCTCTTGAGTGTGACTCTATGTACACATGCAACTGTTTCTTTAATGGTACTTCTTTTTTAAAAAAATATATATTTTATTGATTTTTTACAGAGAGGAAGGGAGAGGGATAGAGAGTTTGAAACATCGATGAGAGAGAAACATCCATCAGCTGCCTCCTGCATACCCCATACTGGGGATGTGCCTGCAACCAAGGTACATGCCCTTGACCGTAATCGAACCTGGGACCCTTCAGTCCACAGGCCAACGCTCTATCCACTGAGCCAAACCGGTTAGGGCCACAGCTCACTTTAGAACTAAAATGAAAGAAAATCTCAGGAGAGCTATGTAGAATCTCTAGGAAAGAGAAAAGAGAAACACCCTCCCATTCAATTCTCAAGGCTAAAGCTAGTGTAGGATAGTAGGAAAAAGAGGAGGAAACATGGTCTAAATCAGTAGAACCCCCCCCCCCCCCCCCCCCCCCCGCCCCTCCCCCTCCCCCCGCAGTTCTCGCTTCAGGTCTTCCAGGAGAGTGACAGCCTCTTCAGCACTCTCTGGACAGTGCTCCTGTACCCAGGCCTGCAGCTCCCGGGGCAGGATGGTCAGGAACTGCTCCAGCACCAGCAGCTCCAGGATCTGCTCCTTGGTGTGGATCTCAGGCCTCAGCCACTCACAGCAGAGCACCCGGAGCTGGCTCAGGGCCTCCCGGGGTCCAGGTGTGTCATGGTATCCAAACTGCCTGAAGCGCTGGCGGAACATCTCCAGGCTGGGAAAGCACTTCTCCTTCTCCTCCTCCTCAACTTTCACAACCACAGGCCCCGCCTGCTCCTGTAGAGGCCCATGGCCCAGACCTGCGGCCACGCCCAGGACCTTGGTCATCGTATGGACTCCAGAAACAGCCTCACCAAAGATGGGGCTCTTTGTAGAAGGAATATTGGTTCCTTTGAGTTTCTGGTTCTTCAGGACAACAGGCTCAACCTAAGAAAAAATGGTTACCATAAAATTACCAAAATAAGTATTTTTAAATTTTGGTCTTACAGTTACACTTTCAGCACAAGAAATTGTGGAAATTATGGCCACTATAATACTACTATGTAAAAATTACTATTCAAATCTCTCTGGAGTTAGCTCAGAATATCCTACTTTGATTTTACTTTCAAAAAAGCACAGTGGCCCAGCTGGTGTGGCTCAGTGCAGGGTTCAATTCCCAGTCAGGGCACATGCCTGGGTTGTGGGCTTGATCCACAGTAGGGGGCGTGCAGGAGGACCAACTGATGTGTCTCTCTCATATCAGTATTTCTCTCTCAAAAAAAAGGAAAGAATATTTCAGGTGGGGATTACCCGCCCCACCCCACCAAAGTGCACTTGGCATAATTTAAAAATTAAATTTACATTAACTGTGCTCTGAAAACTTTTTTAGACTCTTAGAACTCCTGAGGTTTCAACAGGCTATTGCTGGCCAGAAATGTACATTTATGTTATAGCTTTAAATTAGGTGTTTAGATTCACACATTTAGTGAATACGTATTTAAAAACATGCATTTTATATATGACTATTCCCCTTCATTTATTTTTGTGATCAACTTTTGCAATTTTAAAAAAATGTGAAATGGGATTTTGGTAACAGAACCTCAGTATGTAACCTTGCTTTTATGAAAAATTCAATAATTATCAGAATTCTAGGGATGTCAGTACTTGGACTCCCCTCCACTGTACCAATGCGGAAGCATTCTATGAGATGTCAACAGGTGCCCTGACAGGGTGAACTAGAATCAGCACCATCCACTCACTCCCTAATGCTGTCCTACACACCCAATTCGCTGCTGGAGCTCCCGAGTTCAGTATTACTTGAAAATTGAGCCAGGGAAGAAGCATTGCCATTAGTCTCCTAAAATAAAGGCTCTGGCACCAAAGACTACAGATGTAGCAGTGCTGGGAGCATTTCTTAGGGATGCTTAAAAGTCGACTTCAGTGTTGAACAACTACATACTTGGTTACAAAATTTCACACTCCAGCCAGAGGAGGGCAGTCTAACAACAGGAAAGACATCAGAACCTGTTTTGGGCTACTTAGCTTCTGGGATCCAACTACAACTACCAATTTACCTCCAGCCTGGACCTCTCTTTTGAAGTTTAGACTTATATGACCAACTACCCACCTGACACTGCCACCAGCCTGTCCAAAGTCATCTCAAGCTTAACATGTCCAAAACTGCACTTCCCATCTTCCCCCCAAAGCTGCTCATCTGTTAATGGCAGCTCTACTGCTCTGTTTTCATGGACCAAAAAAACGAGGTCATCCCTGATTCCTCTCTTGTTTACATTCTGCATATAATTCATAAGTAAATCCTGTTAGCTCTACATCCAAGAGATACAGAGTTCAACCTTCAACACTGCCATCCCAGTCCATCACCAGCAGCCTCCTAATTGCTTCCACTCTTACCTCAGTCCATTCTCAACACAGCAGCCAGAGATCTCCTGTTCCTCTGCTCACACCTCTCAAGGCTTTGTGTCATACAGAGTAAAAGCCAAAGGCATCAAATGGCCAAGAAGGCCTCCCTGTTGTCCCTGACCTTATCTTGTACTTCTCTGTTCATTCCACCCCAGGCAGTTCCCTGGACTTGTGCGGCACACCCCCACCTCAGAGCCTTTGTCCGGCTGCTCCCTTTAACTCTTCCAGCAGATCACACGCTTCTTCCAGATTATGCATGCTTGGCTCCTGCCCCTCTGACCACCCTGTTTTATTTATTTAAAAAACTTTTTTTACTGATTTCGGAGAGGAATGTAGAGGTAGAAACATCAATAATGAGAATCGTTAATAGGCTGCCTTCTGCATCCTACAGTGGGGATCAAGCCCACAACCTAGGCATGTGCCCTGACCGGAAATCGAACCGTGACCTCCTGGTTCATGGGTCGATGCTCAACCACTGAGCCACACCAGCTGGCATGACCACTCTGTTTTAAACTGTACACTATCCTCCCTCACCTCAGAACTCCTTATCCTCCTATTCTTTTCCTACATATCACTTACCACCATACAAATGCTATATATTTTACTTTTATTTTTTTAAACTGTCTCCATCCTTGAAAATCAATTCTTTTTTTTTTTATTTTTTATTTTTTTTTTTAATTAAATCTTTATTGTTCAGGTTACATTTGTTCCTCTTTTTTTCCCCCCCATAACTCCCCTCCTCCCAGTTCCCGCCCCACCCTCCGCCCTCACTCCCCACCCACTGTCCTCATCCATAGGTGCACGAGAAAATCAATTCTTGAGGGCGGAGACTTTTATCTATTTTGTTCACTGCTATATTTCAAACATCTAAAATATACCTAGTACTTTGCAGTTACTCAAATATCTGTGGAAAGAATGCAATGCATGGATCTTTGGGTCTACTTTTAAGGAGTAAAAACTGTAAAATTGGGTTTAAAAATATCAATACAAATTTAAATTTTAAAAATATGGCAGTAAGAATTCATGTTTAGTGTAATATAGACAGAGGTTGATACAGAATTAGATAATGTGTGTACATGGGTTACTATGGAGACATTTGTTTTCTAGCTCTGTCTGCTGTGAAGGTCCAGAAGCAATGACGTCCTGGTAGGAATAAGCATACCCAGTGCTCAAATCTTGGTCTCTAAATATCATTCTCCAATGAAAGGAACTAGAGATGGAGAAATGGTTGATTCTACATTGGGGAATATACAAGCTGAGCCTGGAGCCACCTTGTAATGCCAGAAAGTATTAAACAACCACAGTGAGGCATGTTAAAGGGACACAGAAGACAACACATAAAAGCTCCCAATAGTCACAGCTGATACAATTTGAAAAACAAAATAACTGGTGTAGTACTAGATTATAACCGTAAGTGTACTATCAATATCGGTAAGCCTGTACTGATGTAAAAAAGGGTGGATGAATAAATAAATAGAGGAGAAAAGACAAATCTCCCATACAGAATTATTCCAAAAAATGTATGTAGATACTCCCCTCAAGAAGGCGGAGCTCCACCTCTTGAATATAGGCTACACTTACTGACTTGCTGGGGGAAAGTAACTACAGTGAAGAAACCTGACAAACTACTACCTCAGCAGTTGATCAAAATTAACATCATCATGGTCTCTATATATCTACACACACACACACACACACACACACACAAACTACTACCTCAGCAGTTGATCAAAATTAACATCATCATGGTCTCTATATATCTACACACACACACACACACACACACACACACACACACACACACACACACTGCAATACCACTCAGTCATAAAAAATGAAATATTGCCATCTATGACAACATGCCCGGAGCTTGAGCAAATTATGTTAAGTGAATTAAGTCAGCTAGAAAAGGACAAGAACCATATAACTTCACTCACATGTGGAACTAAAAAAAGAAAAAAGTTACAAATGAACTAACAAAGCAAAACAAAACAAACCACAAACTCAGAGATCCAGACATACAGATATAATGGTATTAGCAGAAGGGGAAGAGCAAAATTGGTAAAGGGAATCAAAATATATGGTAATGAATGGAAACTAGACTTTTGGTGTGGGAGCATGAAATAGATATCGAACTACCATGTTGCACACCTGAGATTTATATGTTACTAACCAATGCTACCTCAGGAAAAACACATTTAAAAAAAAGATTAATATCATCAGTGATAAGACATGTGCCTTGACATGATATGAGAAGAGCACTTCACTTCTGTGATCTTCCTATTCAAAACCCTTAACCACAGCCCAATCATAAGAAATACACCAGACAAACCAAATTGAGGGACATTGTACAAAAACAACTGACCAGTAGTCCTCAAAACTGTCAAGTTAATAAAAAACAAGGAAAGACTGAGAAACTGTCACTGACCAAAGGACACGAAGCAGGCATGAAGACTACTGTAATGTGGTATCCTAGTTGGGATCCTGGAACAGAAAAGGGGCATTAAAACTAGTGAAAGCCCTAACCGGTTTGGCTCAGTGGATAGAGCGTCGGCCTGCAGACTGAAGGGTCCCAGGTTCGATTCCAGTCAAGGGCATGTACCTTGGTTTCGGGCACATTCCCAGTAGGGGGTGTGCAGGAGGCAGCTGATCAATGTTTCTAACTCTCTATCCCTCTCCCTTCCTCTCTGTAAAAAAATCAATAAATGTATTTTAAAAAACAAAAAACTAGTGAAAGTCAAAGTGTGAAGCTTAGTTAATTGTAATGCACCAATGTTGGTTCCTATAGTTGTGGCAAATGTACACAGTAAAGTAAGATGTTAACAAGGGAAACTGGTGAGAGGTGATGGGGACTCACTGTATTATCTTTGAGGTTTCCTATAAATCTAAAACTATTCTAAAATTATTTAAACACAAAATATGGGGTGTTGGGGCAAACAAGCAGCTTTAGTAAATGCTGTTCTGTTATGAAGTGGTAAAGAGAAATGTGGTTGTTAACTTCAATACTTATGATGGTGAAGCAGGCCATTCTTAGAGTTAATAAAACATTTAAAAAAGTTGTGAAGTCTTTTTCTTTTAGGATTTTTTAAAAATGTTTTTATTAATTTTAGAAAGAAAGGGAGAGGGATAGAGAACATCGATGAGAGAGAAACATCGATTGGCCGCCTCCTGCACGCCCCCCATTGGGGATGGAGTCCACAATCGGGTATGTGCCTTGACTAGGAATCCAACAGAGAACCTCTGGGTTCATGGGTGGACGCTCAACCACTGAGCCACTCCTGGCTGGGCTAGGATTTTCATTTTTTAATCCTTATCCCAGGATATTTTTCCATTGATTTTTAGAGAATGAAAGAGGGAAAGACAGAGAGAAATATCAATGTGAGAGAAACACACCGATTGGTTGCCTCCTGCACTCACCTCAACCGGGGGCTGGTCTGGAAGAAGCCTGCAATTGAGGTTCTACCCTTGACCGGAATCGAACCTGGGACCTTTTGGTCAGCAGGCCGATGCTCTATCCACTGAGCAAACAGGCTAGGGCAGATTTTTTTTTAAAAACACCTGCCTTGTCTCTAGGAGCAGCAATATTTAATTTCTGACTCTCTTCCAATAACTGTCAGAATATTGGCCTAATGAAACAGTTTCTAGCAGATCTATTTCAAACATAACACAAAGTCTTTTTAAAAATTTTATCAAATACTTTTAGTTTTGAACTAGTTGGCAACATTACAATATTCTTTCGTCCCTTGAAATCACACAGTCCATTTTCCAGTTTGGCAATTCTATCTCCACAGGCTCAAAGGCTATCTGCAGAGGTTTAAAACACAAATCTGTTAATATCACCCAGCTACTTAAAATTACCTAACTTTCTGCATGGTAAACTAATGCCAAGCTGGCCTCTGCCTCCCCTTCAGCCATCACTTTTCCCTATGCTCACTCAATGCCCAATTCTTACGCAGGCTTCAATGTGTCGTTCAAGTCTCAGCTCAGTAACTAATCCATGAAAAGGTGCTCAACCTTAGTTATAATAAAATATGCTCCCACCTCTCAGATTGGCAAATATTAAAAAACAAATCTGATAATGCTCTGCATTGATGTTTCGTTTTTCACGTGAGGAAAGCCAGCAATTTCACATTTGGTCATGCTGAGTTAGGGATGCCCTTCAGGTCATGGCTTCTGGATTTTTTTTAGTAAAGTGCTCATAAAATAAAAAAGCATGTGGACAGGAAACAGAGGCTTCATTACTAACTCACCCTGTCTCCAAGCACAGTGAACTACTTTTTTAGGCTCTCTAGAATTTCAGCTAACGAGATCCATCAATGCCCTGGCCAGGTAGCTCAGATGGTTAGAATGTCGTCCTGATACCCATGGTTGCAGGCTCCCTGGTTAGGGCACATACAAGAATCAATCAATAAATGCATAAAGTGGAACAACAGATGGATGTTTGTTTTTTCTCTCTCCCTGCCCCTCTCTCTAAAATAATGAGGGGGGAAAAAAAGCTTTAAAGAGGTCCATTAAGCAAAAGTTCATGGTCTACTATAAGCAGCAGGCTTTTGTTCTGTTCCAAGTTTTTTTTTTCTTCCCCTCCTTTATGCCTGTTTCCCAAAGCATGTATCTCCTTATAAAAGAGCCCCCAGCCATTTTGGAACAAGATGAGGCATAAATAATAAAATTGCCATAGATTCTGACAATTTAATGCTAAAATGCCTTTAACACACTCAAAGTCTGTTCCTGAAAACTCCCAACCAGGCAAATTTGATCATTTTTGAGGCACAGAATTCAGTTAGAGTTTTTGTTTCCAAGCTTTTCTTTAAGCCAAACCAAACCCAACCAAATTGTGCATAATATTTTATCTTCTATCTTCAAGATCCTAGTTCAGTCCTAGACCAACACTTACTTTCTCCATAGTAGCCTTAAAATGCCTGAAAACAATTATCTTGCCTCTTAACTCTCTTTTTATCCACTTGTTTCAACTGTTCCTCAAATAACATAAGTTTCCAAGTACCTCACCTACCAGATGACCTTTCTTTTGACAAACTCTTAACAAATGGTCCTGTAATACCATGTTTCCAAACTTGAGCAGATCCCTGTTATTTAGATGCTTCCTTTTAATTAAAAAAATATATATATAGATAGATTGATTTCGGAGAGGGAGATAGAAACATCAATGATGCGAGAAACTCATTGATCGGCTGCCTCCTGCACATCCTACACTGACCACTGAGCCCGAAACCCAGGCATGTGCCCTTGACCGGAATCGAAACCGGGACCCTTCAGTCCATAGGCCTACGCTCTATCCACTGAGCCAAATCGGCTAGGGCACGATGCTTTTTTAAAAAAAAATGTATTGACCTTAGAGAGAGGGGAAGGGTGGGAGGGAGAGAGAAGGGGAGCGGGGTGAGAGATCTGTTGCAGTTACTCATGCATTCATGGGTTGCTTCTTGTATGTGCCCCGACCCGAGATGGACCCCGAAACCTTTGCGTATGGGGAGGACGCTTAACCAAATGAGCTACCCATCCAGGGCCTTGTATACTTTCCAACCTGAACAAAGACCAACGAGACTATTCACTCCCTCGGATCAGGCCTTCTAAAGAGGTTCGCTTTCTCAGAAGGCCCGCAACCCCCTGGGGCGGTTCGTCAATTAGCCCTGAGTTCGGGCCTCACTTTGAGGGCCCTGGGTTAGGGGTGGGGAGTGGGGGGGAGAAACTTGGTAGCCCCTGCTCTGCTCAAGGAGCGCGCAAAAACGGCTCTGAAACTGCGAGCCGAAGTTTCATTTGTTAAAGCCTCGGGAGGAGGAAAGGCTTCCCAGGGAGCAAGCGCCCCCAGGGCTGGGCAGGGACACGGGCTCCTCCCCCAGCCCTTCCCAGCCCCACTGGG